CCACCGTCTTTCTTCGCGCCAAGTTGGATGCCCCCCCCGCCTGCATGGGCCCGGTTCGAGCAGACAGTCGCTTCGAAGCTCTTCCCGGGGCCGCGATGCTGGGCGACCGTGCCGGCCCTCCGGGCGCTGCCGCTTCTGGGTTTCCAGGGGTCCTCATCGATTTTAAAACGCCTACTCGCTGTCAGCCAAGCTCTGGGTCGCCGCGTTCGAGAATCGACTCCATGGCGGTCTCGCGATCCGCGCCCGCTCGCGGGAGTTCTACGCGGTTGCAGCTCGCTCGGCTTAGTGGCAGCGCCTGCACGTCATGTCACCGTGGTTCGCAGCCGCTGTACTCCAGCTGGACTCTGCCATCGACCACTTCGAATGCGCCGGCTTCGGGGCGATGCGGGTGCAGGAGCGCATCCTTGGACACGCCGGGCCCCCTATTCCCGAGGAGCTCATCGTGCTTCCGCGCCGGTGGCAGAAAACATGCAGATTTTTGGTGCAACCGTCCACCCAGGCCACGCTACAAGTCTTCGCGCGGCGGCGGCTGGCGCGGTACGACGTGCTCTTGTGCGGGCGGGTCTGCCGAACGCGCGATGCTAGTTCTGCGGGCTCTGAGTTCTTACTGGCCTGCGCGTGTTCGGGCCGCGGCCCTGCGCGCCTGGTGGAATGGCTTGGATACACGCCGCTGTTTTCATCAACAAGGCTGGTGCATTTTCGGGTGCCGCTGCGAGGACAGCATCTTGCATTACGCCCGATGCCCAATCGTTCGAGAATGTGGCTTTTCTTCCTCCTCTCCTCTTTCTCCGCCCCTCCTCGTCCTCTTCACCCCCGCGGTTGTGCTCCCTTGTCGTCCCAAGCCGGGCCCAGAGGGACCATTTTGAATGTTTTTTTTCACGGGTTTTACGTGTTTGGCAATTGCAGGCCGTCCAGACCGTTACGGCGTGTCCGTGAAGCTCCTTCTGTGGTTTCTCATTCGCTTTGCCGCCCTCTTCGTCTTCACTGGTCCGCTCCCCCACCCCCCAAAAAAGTGGACGGACCGGTAACCATGCCGTGGCAAGGCGCTGGAAATAGTGACGCCAGCGCTGCAGCGGGAACACGATTCGGAAAGAGCGGCAGCGCGGAAATGAGGCCAGCGCTGCAGCGGGAGCACGATCCGGAACGAGCGGAAGCCCGAAAATAAGGCCAGCGCTGCAGCGGGAACAACATTTTGAACAACAAGCTTGAGCGAAAACCCAACTCCTGGGATTCCAGTGTGTAAATAACACTACGCCGAGGGGGCCGGACATTTTCTGGACGTCATCAGGGGAGAGAGGAGAGTAGTATTCATTTGGTGTAATTGTGGAGGGAGGGAGGGACGGAGGGAGGGAGGGAGGGAAGCAGGGAGGGAGGGAGGGGGAGGAGGAGGAGGAGGAGGAGGGAGGGAGGAGGAGGAGGAGGATGAGGAGGAGGAGGAGGAGGAGGAGGGGGCCAGAGGAGGCGTGTCTCACCACTCGGGCGAGCCCGGCTCGACCTTCCGCCCCCCCCCTGGCCAGGAGGGCGCAAGCTCGTCGATGGCGAGGGCTGCAAGCCCGCACCTGCCGGCCCGCTACCCGGTGACGCCGCAGGTGCGGGGGTCCTGGTCGCCAGGGGGGGAGCGGGTGCTGAGGAAAACGGGTCCTCAGGTTTGTCGTCGTCCTGGAGCTCTCGGGGCCCTCCCCACGGGCCCCGGGAGTGTCAGAAAGCGGCTCAGGATGACGACCTCGTCCTGGGGGAAGGCCCTGGGGTTCAGGGCCCGTTTCCCTCAGGACCTCACTCCCCCATGCCAATTTGGGCCACCCCAGCTTTCCAGAGAGGGCTCTCAGATGGGGTCGGAGCAGGGGGGGTCGGTCATGGGAGGCTCCTGGGTGGCCCTCGTCGCCACCTCTGGATTCGCCTCGAAATTCTGATCAGAGCGCACCCTGGGAGAGGCCCAGGGAGTTGCGGTATCAGTACCATTCGGTTTCCCATTTGCGTACCAGGGGCCCTGGGGTTTCCGAGCAGATGGGTTCGGAGGATCGCGACGCAGCGCCGATTCATCGGGGATGCGGCTCGATGTGGAGCCTGGGTTTTTCCACGCCGACGTCGCCGATGCATTGGCGACGTAGCCGATGCATCGGCGATGCATCGGCGATGCGGTGCGAACCTCCGACCACACCTGCTCGAACCCCATTTGGGAGGCCTCCAGTTCCAGAGAGGGCTCGAGGGTCCTGCCTCACCAGTCGAGGCCGAGGCCCAGCCGCCGCCCTCGAGGACTTGGGGCTGCCCTGTCCCGCTGATGTTCGGACCGTCTCTTGGCTTGGGGCTGGGGGCGCCTCGTGTGCGCTTGCCTGCTCGTGTCCTGAGTTTCCTTAGCAGGGCCACGGTCGTGATGCGCGCGAGCCTCACTGCAGCCCGAGCGAGTGTGGCGTCGGATGCCTCTCGCCTCTTGGCATCGCTCGGACGTGTGCGTTTTTCCCTTCGGCGAGGACCATCGAGGAACATCCTTGATCATTTGGCG